TTCTTAAACGCTTATATTATGAATACTAGCTATTCCCCGCGACTTCGCCCGCGTGTTATTTAGGGTTTTAATTTTTTATTTTTTATTAATTTTTTTTAATTAATTTTTAAAATAAAAGTATCCTAAGTTATTCCTTATGACATCAGCTATCTGCCAGTGAAAGTACCGTCAAAATCGGTCCAGCCATTTCTGAGAGTAGCTGGAACAAACAGACAGACAGACAAAAATTTTAAAAATTGTGTTTTTGTTATAAATACCGTATATACATTCATATGTATTTAGTAAAAAGCTGTTATTTTGACATTATAAACAGACACTTCAATTTTATTTATTTGTATAGATTTAACAGGATAAATGTATGAACATTCCTAATGGCGACGCATTCCTGGCTCTGTGGATACAGTACTACGAGTAAAGAACGCTTCTTTTTTCTTTTTCTTTGTTTAAAGTTTCACTTCTTTATTTACTCTCGGAGCTGTTATCTCCTACGTTTTTTATGGTCATTACTGAAAATCAGGCTTGTGGTTTCGCTGCAACTCATGCTGAGTAATAACCTTTTTGGTATGCCTTCGACGTACAAAACCATATTTATTAAAATTTCGTATATTGTTGTACGTTAACGGCCTGTGTCAAAATAGTGTTTCTTTCTTCTTTCTTTCTAACCCTAAATTATATGGAAAATTACTTTGCTAGTAGTACTTCGCTAGTGATTGACTTCTCCGTGGCGCAGTGGCTTAGCAATGAGTTGTAGCACTAAAAGCCGCGGGTTCGGATCCCGCACGGGACAAGTATTTGTATGGCCTACAAATAATTATGCCGGGTCCAGATGTTTGTCCTTGTGAAATTTACAGTACAATTTCAGCCTGTTAAAGTCCACTGCTGAACACTGCTAAAGGGTATTTGCTTTAATTGCCATGCTTGGCAAGCGGGTTGGCAATCGCAGTTTTTATTTTTATTTTTAGTCGTTATAAGAAAGACACTGCTGTCCATCTCCTTAAATGTTTCCCTCTGTCGTCTCTTACTACACCCACGAGATGATATGGGGTAGTGGATATTTTTACACCGCCACTGCACGGTCCGTGGACGTAACGTTTTCAAAAAAATAGTATTACCTAAATGTCCTAAAATCCTGCACGCAACAATGACTGGATGATGCCTTTGGCATGGCCTTGCTGGTGAACCGTGACGGCCGTGCTGTGCCGCTGGACCATGCCCGACGCCAATCCGCGTTCTATTGTTCCAGATCTGTGCAGCTTTATTTTAATTGGATTTATTTTGATAGCAGTATTTTCCCACGGTTAACGTATAAATTAGTTCGGATAACTATTTTTTTTAAAAAGGGACTGCTGTTACAGCCTACCAAAAGTCCACTGCTGCACATAGGCCTCCCAGGATATTTGGCGTAATTGTCACACTGGCAGTGTTTTTATTTTTATTTTTTAGTTTTAAATAGGGAACACCGAAAGTTCTGCGCTCCTGGCCGCTCATAAATATTTGAATTTCGAATGTTACATTTTTTAAATAAAACATAAGAAACCATAGATATAGTACTTATATACTAAATCTATGTAAGAAACTCATTTAATGATTATGATGATTTTGGCGAGAAGTCGTCGTTCATCATCGGTAGCAAAAATGGCATTAATGCGAAGAAATTTAAGGGCTGATAAATAAGAAGATGAAAATTCGAATAGCGGATTCGAACCGTTGAGCCTTTGTTTTAGCAAAAGTTTTGTTTTCAATCAGTTGCGGGAACAAAAGCGTATCACATAATGAAACTGTATCGTGATAATGTTGAAAATGCCAAAATGCATATAATATATTTATAACTATCCATGTATTATGAAGCGAAATTATAATGGCGCGTTGTCCCGATATTACCCGCCCGAATAAAGGATGTCATCTAGTCGTGCGTGTTCCATACACATTGTGCCATCGGATACAATGGTTGCTGGGGCTTGGTTATGCTTATGAGGTACAACTACGTACTACGGTATAGTATACATATTGCTATTGTATATGCGCCTTTAAATGGCTGTAAAGCCGTCGTTATTTACAACAGGCCTTTTCTATAATAGGTACACTTTATAGATACGTAGCTCATTAAACGTTAGAGCTGGATGAGAACACAATATAAACTTCCTTGCTGTCTTTCTGTGCTTGTTTGTCTGTTCGATACTTATTAGCAATCGATTTTAAACTGTTTAGACACTGAGACAAACTTTATAGTTCATGGCTAGAAACATGGTAAAATATGGTTGCCATTGTGAATTGTAATTACTTGTTTGAAATTAAGTTTTACGTATTTTATCGCGTTTAATTTTAAGAACCCACCATGGGTAAAGCACTCGAAACGTCGAAAACTAAAAAGTTAAAATTAAACTCGGTAAAATCCGTAATATTAGTTTCATTTAATTTGTGGTATTCGCGTAAATATAAGCTTTTTTTCACTCCTTTATAACAAACATTAGAGACTTAACATATACAAAAGTTGTACCTGTAATTGTGTATTGTATACCTATATGGGGTGGGGCCGCGAAAACCAAATTTCTGGAGTTGGAAAGAATTTAAAGATCCATGCTAAAGGTTAAGTTTTTAAAAAGTTATAAATATCCAACAGAATGTTTTTATTCAATTTGTAATAACCTAACAGTAAGAAAATTGTACATATTGCATACAATCTTAAAATTACATAAAACCTTACCATATGACTCATACTTACTAAATAAAAGAAGAAAATATATAGTTGCTCCTGTTGCTACAGTGAATTCAATGTTTCCTAGACGACAATATAACACAATTTCTGCTTATTTATACAACTTAATTAATAAACACATTAATATATATTCACAAAATAAGTACAAATGTAAAATGTTATTGACAAACTGGCTAATAACAAAAAGTTATGATGATACGGAAGCTCTTTTCACAGCAGCGATAAGCTCTAGTTAAGTTAGTGGCATATTTATATACACACAACCACACCCACCCACTCACTCACTCACTTACACACACACACACACACACACACACACACACACACACACACACACACACACACACACACACACACACACACACACACACACACACACACACACACACACACACACACACACACACACACAAACTTTGTGGAAGTGACTTGTTATGGAAGAGCAGAATCTCCTAACACAGGTATCTTTTTTATTTAAAAGGAGATTCCGGACACGGTTAAAACTGTACGAATTATGTTACTGAAATAAAGTTTTTTTATTTTTTATTTTATTTAATTTGCTAATCAATTATATAGTTCCACTGAGAGGTGAACGACGGCAGCCATAATAGTATAATGTATCGAATTGTAATTGTGTCAGAGCTGCCTGCGTCTACCACCCTGAGAACTAGTTAAAATTTACAGGTAATTAACGTCTAATGAAAAAAAAAACCATTCTTTCCTATTATTAAAATTAAGTAAGCAAGCAAAGTAATATGAAAGTACATATTTAACAAATAATAAGTTTAAGTATGTGTGTGTGGATTATACATGGTGTGGTATTTCACAAGCCTCTTATTCTCCGAATAATGCAGAGGTAATAAAACTACTTACAATTCCCTAATTTTTTTTAAATAAAATATTCTTTTAATGTTCAAGTTTTTAAAAAAAATGTTATTTCTTTACGTTTGAATACTGACTCTGATAACACACTTAACGGGAACCACAGGGTTTTTGTTTAACTTTGTATAATGAAGGCTAATTATATAAAGTTTACATTGAAGTTTTTTGTTTACATTGAAGTGAAGTTTTTTGTTCACATTGTTATTTAATAGAGAAGTTAGTTTTAAATAACAGTTTATCAGTTTCTAACAAAACAATGCCTCAGGGGCTTGCTTTTTAATTTCGTACACATTTTAACCCTTTTTTTATTTTTCTACTTATATGAATATCTGTGGTTTTAATTTAATTAATATAAAATATAACTAATAGTACAGAAAGAAACATTAACGTTTAAATTTTTCAAACAAACTAATTTCCCTGCTATGAAATCTGTCAAATATTACCTACACCTCATTTTAAGTGGCGCCGCCCTGGTGGCAGGGAAAAGTCGTGGCTACCCTGATTATTTTCTACCGACATCAAAAAAAAATACTTCGACTCAATGCGACTGTATGTTTTTTTATGTGTGTTACCTCATAACTTTTTACTGGGTGGACCGATTTCGATGATTCTTTTTTTATTTGAAAGCTGGTACTTCACACGTGGTCCCATATAAATCAATGATCAAGGTCTGACCAATAGTTTTTGAGTTATTCTTAATAATTTATATTGAAGTCGGTTGTACAAAATTTTTAATTTTAAATTACGTTGAGAACATAATAGATATGTTGTGGTACCTACATGTCGGTACGTTGTGCGGTTACGCTAGGATACACAATGGCTGCTAATGAAGCGTATGATGATAGCGTCGCGCCTTCTTGTCTCTGCGCGGCCGAGCTAACCGTGACTAACTAATCGAGATGCTGGAATCGGATTTCATGTATTTAGCGAGACGAAAAGAGATGAGTGGATAAATAAAGCATTTACGCTGATCTACAAAGTACATTTGTATAAGCCGATTTAAATACAATTAGGATAGAAACATACCTACATATTTTTTACAACCGACTTCAAAAAAGGAGGAGGTTTTCAATTCGACTGTATTTTTTATGCGTGTTACCTCAGAACTATTTTCTAGGTGAACCGATTTTGATGATTCTTTTTTTATTTGAAAGCTGGTGCTTCTGTTATATAAAGGTGGTACATATTAAAAAGGTGCACATGTCTCGCTATTACAAATTTACGCTGGTATCGGTGAGTCTGTGAGAACGTGGTCTCTCCCCGGTCGAGCCGATGCATTCGTGCTACAACTGTACTACTAATATAGCTGTAGCATGGCTCTACCACGTAAAAACCCGAGTTACCTTCAGTAATATTAATGCTGTAACAATATTATTAATTGTACCGTTTTCATTTTTCTCAGGTCAAAATGAACGGTATGAACGGACACAGCAACGGCGAGATGAACGGCGCTGGGGACATCATCACACAGAACCAGCAGCGCGGCTGGTGGACCATCGGGCTCATCAACTCGCGTTACCGCTACCTCACCGCGGAGACATTCGGCTTTAAAATCAACGCGAACGGTACCAGCCTGAAGAAGAAACAAATATGGACCCTTGAGCCCGCATCCGGAAACGCCAATGACAGTAAGTAATCGGTTACTAATAATTTCTTTTTTATATTATAAGAGTAACAAACGGACACACAGTTCACCTGATGCTAAGTGGATGCTGTGGCCCATAGACATCTACGTCTATCGACTAAGAAGCAAAATGCAGATGCGCATCTCTGAGGACTAAGATGGAATGCCACGTTTGCAGTAAAAAGTTTCTTGTTCTCAACACTCACCATACAGCAGCGTTGAGCTGCTATTTCACGCTGGTATTCTGTGAGAGCGTGGTCTTACCCCGGTCGAGCCGACCTATTCGTGCTAGAACCATAATATAGCTGCAACATGGCTCTACCGCGTATAAAACGTAAAGTAGTTGCTAATAATTAAGTACTGGGTTCCATTTCCGGGTCGGGCCAAAATCAGTTACTCTGTTTTTCTGCCAAGAAATTCTCATAACAGTCCGGAGTCATAAAGTTCACAGTTTTCAACCCTGTGCGCCTGATCTTTCTCCGGTCGTGTCGGTTACCGTCCCATCGGACTATGAGAGTGAGGGAATAGAGAGTGCACCTGTGCTTGCACATACACTTGGGTAGGATAATCCTGTACTGCGCAGATGGCTCCGTTAAGACTGGCCGCCGTGACCGAAATTAGGTCTGGAGAACATTAGTAGAGATATACTATAGCGTACAGCTGTATTGTGCAGAACGAACGTGTCTGCTAGGACTGAGAAAGAAAGTAGCTCACGCTGTCACTGAAGAGAAGCGTAAAATAGCAGCATATTGCTGCTGCATTTCGTATGAAGTGTACCGAGAACCTGGAACAGGTAACATGGCCTTCGATATATAGCCCTAAGGGGTGACAACGCATCTGTAATTTGTGTCCAATAGTGGATTTAAAGGGGACTGTATGCTCGTTTCTCTCATCTTTACTTAATAATAAGAACCTGGAAATTCTACTTATTTGCCTACTGAAGCTGCATTTATCTCGTAAAAGAAATCTTGTCGGACATATTAAAAGGGTAGTATCAAAGACGCATTCCTAATTAGAAAAGGAGTAAGTACTACTGTCTAGTAAAATCTTAGTCAGTGACATTGCATTTAAGCCTATTGTTAACCTACCGCAGAAGCAATATAGGATATGCTACTGAAAATGAGAAACTAACTACCTATTTGTGACGCTAATAATTAATAACTAACTGCTCTTTTTCAAACGAATTCAAAAAAGGAGGAGTTTCAAAGACAAAGACGCCTGAACCGATTTGGAGAATTCTTTTTTTTTTGTTTCAAAGGGTATACTTCCCAGGTGGTCCCCCATTTAAGTTGTATCGAAATCGGTCGAGGGGTTGTAAAGAAATCAACAATAAATTATATTCATATTGTAGTCGTTTGTACAAAATTTTAAATTTACCAACCAATCGCCAATTCACCTTACCGCCTTTCTTCGGAAAGATGTTGTTTAGTATAGGTTCAGAGAATGGGCTACTACATCAACCCAGAGATGTTATTTTGAATAGGAATCACTTTTTTAAATGGTAAGCATGATGATGATGAATATTAACTGTTTTAATTTTCTCATCAAAGTCTAAAAACTAAATTATTCCCAAAACGTTTAAATCCTCCAATCTATTTAGTATAACCCCGGGACTCCCAAAGTGTGAGCCTGACACCCTAGTGTGCCGTGGAGTGTAAGCAGGGGCGAAGCCTCTGAAAACAACTTTCATGCGACAACAGTCTTAAAACTATTGTTGTTCTCATTTGGTGTAGTCTTGGATAACAGGCAAAAATGTATATCCAATTCTTAATTTCAAAAGCTTTAAAAAATCTCTTTCTCTTTGCAACATACTGTTTATGCGAAGTCAGATTTTCAGCTGTATTATACAACATAAAGAGCAATTATCACTTAAAATCAATTTGAAATAAGAGTAATATTCCGCGATTTAATAAAATGTGTCGTAATCAGTAACCTACTCGTCGCATTGACTAACTTGACTTTGAAAGTTTTCTTTTGTAATTTCGTTAATTATTTTGATAAAGTTATTTTAATTTCTATGCTTTACTAGTGTTGCTTCACACATATTTTGACAAGGGCGCATTGACAAAATTACCAAACAAAATAAAAAAAGTTTTGAAACCTTTGGTTTAGCCAGAGCCTATTTTATTTTAATACACAATTAAATTAATGAAGTTTTTACACGATATCGTATTTAAAAGTTAGGGTTTCCCCATGTAATATACTGAGACCACTTTTATTTTTATGCATTTAATTATTACAACGGTAAATATTAATATAATATTTTTGTTAAACCTTGTAACGAAACGCACATTTTACAGTGTGAAATCGATGTATATCAGATACTACCTATCCATTAGAACGTTTAAATTGTTACATCAACTTCAAAAAACGAGCTTTTCATCCCCTACCAAAATTCCCCCAAGACTAATTGTCAACTCGACCCTCTCACGCCAAACACTCGTTTATTAAAGGTTTAATTGGATTTCCACATTGGAGTTCTAAAATTAGCGAATAGTAGTTCTGTATTTTTATTTAAAAAGAAAACCGTTTTAATTATTTTAATTTGTTGAAAATTTATATGGGTACACTCTGGAATAAAAAAAAAGATCTTTAAGTTTAAATTGGTTAAAGGCCTTGGACATACGGTTTTAGAAATGTTAAGAAAATAATACACATTCGGGTTGATGTTTTCTTTCTTTTCTGGAGTCTGTCAAAAAGTAAAGTACCGCTACAATATAATACAATTTATGCTAAGCCTAAATTAGGTACCACACAAATAATAACCACGCAATTACTATATTAAAAGACAATCTCTTTATCTTCGCACTTTTTTTAAAACTTGTATTTAAAACAAAGAAACAAAATTAATATATCATGTCATTTTATAGTCTTGGAAAAATTTCAGCTATAAATTTAATATTATGTAAATGAAATTGAAATGATTTGACTTTTTTATCTGATGTAGCTTGATTGGATGCTGCTGTTATAACTTAAATAACAATTTTTGAAATTTTTATCTGTCTGTCTGTCTATTCGGGCTAATCTTCATAATGGCTGAATCAATTACAGTAGAACGCCGATTATCCGAATTAATTGGGACCGGGGTCGATGCGGATAATCGAAATTTCGAATAATCGGGACACAGACTGGTATGTAATAATGAAAAACGAACTGTCACACATAGAATAAACTTTATTAAGTTTAACAAACACAGTTCTACAATACGTAAGTAGTGCACTAGAAAGAGAGAGAGAGAGAGAGAGAGAGAGATAGAGAGAGAAAGATAGAGAGCATCAGCGCCGCGGCAGATAATATACGAAATACTTACTTACAGTACTTGGTTTTAATTTTTTATATTACGCTTAGGATCGATTCGGATAATTGGCGATTCGGTTAATCGGCGGTCGGATAGTCGGCGTTCTACTGTATTAAAATTTACGAACAAATAGAGAGCAATATCAGGAATGATCTAGACTGTATTTTCTCAGAAAAACACGCTTTTTTGGGAAATCAAAACTTGATAAAATATATGGTCTTGAATTAAATAACGCCCTATTAATAATTAGGTAATTTACCTAGGCCTAGCCGGGGCAGCTCGCTAGTCTTATTATAAAACTTATTTTCTTTATTATTGTTTTGTTTTATTTTGTTGTATAATAATGTGTAATTTTTAAAGTTACTTTAATTTAAAATATGTATATCTATTAGAAAAAAATGTTCGTGGTCAGTGAGATCAAGATCGAGAACAGAAAGTTCTATTTACACAAGCCGTGGTTAAATTTATCGAGCAAATATGATATTTATGCGATTTATTAGTTTGCTGTGACAATATTTGGTCTCTATCTTAGTTTCAAACGGTATAGAGACTTGTTACTTTCAGATTTTGTAGAAAGATTGCATTCATGTCCAGTCTACAAACGACTCTGTTGCCTTTTTCTTATCTAATATTAAATTTACCCCTAGATAGAATAAAATCAGTGGTTTAGAAAACTGAAACAAAACATCTCATGGACTGTGATGGATGGACTTGTGTGAATTCTCTGTCATTGTCATCACATTGTTATGTTGTAATAGGTTTATGGTAGTGTGAGACGTTGTAGCTCAAATGGTTAGCGCTCGCTGTTAGTTTCACAGTACGCGAGCAACCCGGGTTCGATCCCCGCCGGCACCAATGAAATTGTTAATTGCAATTTCAAATTCTGCTTTACGAAGCGAAGCGGCGAAGGAAAACATCCGTATTCCGTTTCAGTGGGACGTATATAGGCTGTAACTTTTGATCGGTTCATAAAGTCTAAAAAAAATTAATTATTCGAGAAGTGAGTGACAACTAAATTTAAAAATTCTAATACATTTTTATTGATACACACCCTTTCGACCACATTTAGTGGTTTCGAACCGATCTATCTTCCGTCCTCAGGGATGACAGGCATCGAATATAATAGATAAAAATAATTTTTATTCAATATAGATTGGATTACAGGAATAATTATTTAAAGTCGTCAATGCTTTTACCACTGGTTTGGAAAAAAGCCTCTGTTCTGGGAGGAACCAGCAAGTAACCCAGTGGGACTATTTTCAACCGACTTCAAACAGGAGGAGGTACTCAATTCGACTGTATGTTTTTTTTAATGTGTGTTACCTTGTTCTACGTGAACCGATTTCCCATATAAATTTGATAAAGGTCTGACAAAAAAAATCATTTTGAAGCAGCATGATAGCGATCACCTAATTTCCAGGGGTTAGTATCGACCATGTCTGCATTTTGGTTCTTAATCAAGTAGTCTGTGTCTATGCGCTACGGCGTCAATTTACGATCAAGTGGATTTAGTACTCGATTGCCACTCTTGTTTTGAAAAATAAATCAGTAAAACGCCGGTCTCGCGGCCCGACAGCGCGCATCCCCTCCGCTTCGAGAGGGTTGTACCCTCACTGCCAAGGTCTCAGCTGTTGCCTTTTCACCTGACGATCGATATCGCGCACCGCCCCCGTTACTCGCTCTTTCAAATCTGAGTGGTGTTTGCG